CAGTGAAATCAGGACATTTCCTCACTTTCTAAAAAAAACCCGGGACGCCCGGGACAGGACGTGAAATACAGATATGTCCCGGGAAATACGGACGTTTGGTCACCCTATTAAACGGGGACCCTGTTGGGACCCAAACGAGCATAAAGGAGACGGTTATATTTATGTTATTATTCAATTCTATTCAGTTTATTTATATAGCTCCACTTTAAAGTTCATCAGATCAGTCAGTAACTATGCAGTCATAGTTAAAGATCATGATTTCATTTGAGCTTTCCATGAATCTGTTTAAATTCAGAGCAGAATTTGCCCCGATTACTTAAGGATGGGGAAACTTTATGGAGACAGACATGCCAAGAAGGATAGAAAAAATAAAAATGTCATGAATTTGAGTAAGTTGGATAAAACATTTTCCAGATTCTCTCGAACTTTGAACTGATGGTGGCGCTACATAAAAGGTCAAATAATCATGAAAACCAATGAGGATCCAAATGATTGGAGTCCTTAAATTGGACACATTTAGATAAAACCTTTTAAAATAACTCGTTTCAGATTAAACTATTGGCCTGATGGAGGCGCTAGAGGAAAGGCCAGGGCTCTTTTAGGAATTAAAAGATTTTTCATTTATTTATTTTTTATAATCTACATTTGATAGGCCTGTATTCAACAAAAAACAGACTCATGGTGAATAATCCTTTTCTGGAGCCGAAAATCTCTGAAACGTGTTTCTAAAATCTGATGATTGAATGAAACATAAATTTAATCAGAGGGAAAATTAAAACATGCAGAATTAGGGCCTGTTTGTGTCAACAGCTGCTGGAAATGAGGAAGTGGAGATCTGGGAAAGAAGGCTGATCTGATGATGATGATGACTATGATGATGAAGATAGCAGCTGGTTGGGGGGTGGGGGGGGGTAATCTTCTCCTTACAGCCTCCAGGAGAATCCCTCCTTCTTTCTTTCTCCTCTCTCTTCATGCTCACAGTAATGCGGGTGTGGATGGGGTGGCCTATCAGCGCTAAAGTTAGCTTGGAGTTGAACATAGATTTTTTTCAGCAGCGTCTTCCTCCCATTTGAACTGATGTTGGACTGAAGAAAATGACTTCCTTCACCAACGCTGCTGCTTAAACCAATCTGCTGACAGTCGCATCCATCTAATTAAAACCAGCACAGTCCTGTTCCTCCCGTACTGCTGCCCTGCATGTTTTAGATCTCTCCTCGCTGCTGCACACCTGAGTTATACAGAGCCATATTAAACAGGCTTCTGCAGAGCTTGGTGGCAGCTGAGGAAAGTCATCAGAGACAGAGAAAACATCTAAAACATGCAGGGCAGTGTTACCCGATGAACAGGACTGAGAACTTCTGCTCTGAAGGACAGAGCCGTCCTGAAAATGACTTCCTGACAGAAACTGTGACGTCAGAGTGTTAGCAAACTGTGATGCTCAGGTAGAGGGCCATCTGCAACCGAGAGCCATCAGAAGTGCAGCTGCATGTTCATCCGGCTTAAGGCGCATTACTCAGGTGAGCGAAGCCTTCGTGTAATGCTACGTTCAGACTGCAAGCAGCAGAGGCAGCTGAAGCAGCTAGTTTCCATCCAAAGTCAATGGTTACACGCATCAAAGTGCAGCAAAAGGTCCTGCAGCGTCTAGAGCAGCAGGAGCAGCGCATCATGATTCAGAGCAAAGGCAACGCGCCGCATCAAGTAATCAGAGAAGCTGATCTGGGAGCTGGCAGGGAGTCAGACGCAGCACTGCTGATGCAGAGCGCTATGATC